AATTCGCCTCCAAAAACCTTCGGAGGTTTGTTTAGAGCCAATGATCATATCACTTGAGATGTTACAGAAAGCTCGACATAATAACACATCCTCCGCATGTACACGACATTGTTGTCGCTTTACCATAGGTCAACTTCTTTTACTTTTTTCGAATCAGTATTTAAGGCAAATGTTGTCAAGTAATTCAAACTCTGGGATCGTGCAAGGCCTTGAGACTTCAATGGGCTACTAGAGAATCCAGTCGGCATGAAATTTCCTTATTGATAAGGCATCCCAAATGCATCCAGAATGCCATATTGGAGGGATATTGCCCACATATATTGAGATTGATTCATGTTCATAAAATTTGGTGATTGGGAAAAGAAGGTTGCTCTGAGATTCGTGAAATTGGATAAGAAGACATTGGTGCGAGTACTTGAAAAGGAAAATTTTGAAATTAAGGTTGTAGTTGCATTATAAGAAATTGAGTAAATTGCATACGTGTATAACGTGACTTTAAGGAAAACGGCCTGTCAGTTTGACTTAAAAGAAATATAATACAGCGGTCTATGATCTTTTATTTTATTTTTATTTTTTTAAATGAAGGTGTGATGCATAACATCACAACAAAGAACTTAATTTCTAGATATTCCGCAATGCTAGTTGATATTATTAAAGTAAATAGATACACCAACTCATCAATGAACGAAAAATGTGGGCACGTCATTCAAAGTGAAAAACATTAACAGTTATTTATGTGGGCACAAAATGCAAGTTGAAATGAATGACAAATGCAATAAAAAAAAAATAATAGATGGACAACTTTTATTTTTGATATGTGACTACACAATATTTTACTACATCTAAATTAATAAAATAGTATTTCAAAAGTATTACTTGATGGACAATATATATTATGATAATTATTATTATTATTATTATTATTATTATTATTATTATTATTATTATTATTATTATTATTATTATTATTATTATTAGTAGTAGTAGTAGTAGTAGCAGCAACTTGGAAAATAAGTTACGTTTAGGGTTAGAGTCTTATTTAAAGGCTCATTCTGCTTTGTATTGGGAGAAGTTGAGAATGAATTAAAATTGTTCGTGTTCTTTCGGGAGAGTATCCCAAGTTCGAGAGAGTATCTCGTATTATTCTCATTCGTTCACGCTTTCGCTACATCAGTTGGTATCCAGAGACCGGGTACGTTCCACGATGCTGCCAAAGAGAGGAAACCCTAACGATCCTACCATCGACGACCGATTGCAACGGATGGACGATCAGATTCATGGTATGGATGATCGATTTAACGAACTTTCTACGGGGATTGAGGAATTACGGGTTGCTATGAGTGCCATGATGTACGAGGTGCGTAAGAACCGCGAAGGGGCTGACCGGGACCATCGCGGAGGGATGCGCGGAGGTCGTGAGGGTCGAGGTTATGGCGGGGCGCCCCGCCAACGATCACCACCGCCACCGCTGACCGGTGATGTTTCTGATGAAATATCTGGGGAACAAAAACAGGACCACGACGTACGGTGGAGTGATCTTTTCGACAAACCTCCACGCAGGGCCAATGGTCGGCGAGCGCGAGGCGACCATGGTGGACGACGGGAGGACGGAGAGTTTGGTGGCGATGGACTTCGTCAGCGCGGCAGAGAGGGCTTTCGCGATGGACAGGGACCTGACGTAGAGGGTTTCTTCCGTCACGATGACCCGTTGTCTGAGGATGATGACCTGTTTCATCGCGACAGGGGCAGAGAGGAAGAGTTCCTGTGGCGGCGCGACGAACTTGGGGTTGCGACGGATGGTGATTTGCAGCGGCTAGAGGGACCACGGATGGTAGCAGAAGACGAATTTCAGCGCCCAAGTCCTTTTGCCGATCGCTAGTGGATGGCGGGGGATTGGAGAGATGAAGCTTATCGCACTTTCGGCGATGAACAGAGACACAGACGGCGAGACCCAATTTTCAATCCCATTATTGGGCTTGCATATGGAAGGCCCAACTACATTTATTTGCACCAGGAAAGAGATGGTTTTACTCCTTATTTTGGGCCTGAAAAGCCACAAGCAGGCTTTGACTTCGAGTTTGAAGATTCTCCAAATTTTGAGCCCGACGCATGCGATATGTACGACGGTCCGCCGATTTTTGATAAGGAGCCTTCGGTGACGGAGTCGCGTATATGCGACGATATGGGTCCCCTGTGGTACGTAGCAGAGGTTGAACCTTCAGGTCGGCGACTATCGGTCGGACCCGATTTCTGGCGGCTCTTGTCCAATGATGTTTTTGGGAGCCGCAGACGAGGCTTAATAACTGGTGGTCCATTTTCCAATTGTCTATCACGATGTCTCCAACCAATGGGTTGCTTGGTCGTAATTATGAATTAGAGCGCGACGACCGTTGTGATATATTTGATGTTAATTCAGTTATGCGGGATATGCGTATGGAGGCATGTACATGTGCCTTTGGATTAGCTCATTCTTTGCCCAAGCTTATGTTTACCTTCGTTGTTGTTGGGCGTTCTTCAAGCTTCGTGTTCGATCGAGGACGGAGCGGGACACACTTCTCCAACTGGAACGGGTCGGATTCGAGGCCGAATCCTGCTCCACTGGGGGAGAATAATGGAGAATATATTATTATTATTATTATTATTATTATTATTATTATTAGTATTAGTAGTAGTAGTAGTAGCAGCAGCAGCAGCTTGGAAAATAAGTTATGTTTAGGGTTATAGTCTTATTTAAAGGCTCATTCTGCTTTGTATTGGGAGAAGTTGAGAATGAATTAAAATTGTTCGTGTTCTTTCGGAGAGTATCCCAAGTTTGAGAGAGTATCTCGTATTCTTCTCATTCGTTCACGCTTTCGCTACAACATTACTAAAATTAAAATTATCTTTAGACAGACATTTCAAAATAACACATTTAAAGATCACCTTACGGTTATGATAGCCGATGTGAGACATGTAGTAAAAATTGCAATTGTTCAAATGATAACCGATGTGGGACCTAGTAAGAATTCCAATTTCCAATTGTTCAATCTCTATATATATATATATATATATATATATATATATATAAAAAAAAAATTTACCATTTTTCAAAAATAGCAGATCAAATTTTGGTCAGAATCATTTTGCATTAATTACATTTCATTCTTAGTAACTTTTCTTTTTTTTTTTAATAAAAAAGACAGCATTAAATGCTACCCATTAATTAAGGATTTTGTTATGTTGGTTTTCAACAAAACCATGAATGTTGCCTATTATTTGGGGCTGATGTTGTTTTATTTTTAAAAATCATGTTTAATAAAAGAAATAATTATATATTATCCTAAATTGCTGGATAATTAAATTGTCTTGTTTTGTGATTTTACTTGCTTAATAAATTAATTAGTGTTGATTTAATACTCAACTGGTCAAACATTTTTTTACTTCAAATTAAGAAATAAATATGTATAACCGATAAAAAAAAGAATTAAATACGTATAGATAATATATTAATTATTTTACAAGCTAGCCCTAATATACAAGTGAAAAATATATGATAACCCTATTGATTTTTAGACTTAAACGAACAGCGTCGTCTGAAAATAATTCATTTAATATCTATGTCCCGTGCATTGCACATGGTACGTACTAGTTGTTAAGGGATGCAGGAAATTTTTTTTTGCCGTATTTTTTCCTATTATTTTAGTCACTAATTCCGGAGTGGGAGGAATCCTTTTTCATATTTTTGTTCATTATTATATTGCTTAATTTATGTATGGTTGGACCAATCTTTTAAAAAATAAGTCAGTTGTATTTAATATTTATAAAGTATAATATATTTCAAAATATCAATGAATTAAATAACTTAAAAATTAAGTTAACAATATTATATATATTTAAAAATATTAATACACTCGTCGAACCAGTAAACCATTAAATTAATAGTTTGACCAATTCGATAACCCATCGGTCGGAATTTGAGAACTTTGCTCCAAACACAACAAAGCACATAAATACGCACAATCTACGCTATGTTCACTTTTACAGTCCTTGTTTCCTTTTTCTTTAACTTTGTATTTTTCTGTTTATTTTTTCAAAACCAACACAACACAAGACTAATTTAGATGGATTTGTCTGGAGAAAGGATGGATAAGGAATCCAATCATGGTTGTCCGAAGTCAGTGCGATGGTGATAATTCACGGTGCACTAAAAAAAAGTCAAATAGAAGAGGTGAGGGTAAAATAGTATATTTACATTTGTATCCCATTCTTTATCAAAGACGAACAAATCCATAGAGAAGTTATCCCTAAACTTATTAATTTGGTAACTGCTATGTCCCGTTATTGAACCATCCCGTCAAGTGTTTTAACCATTAGATCATCTATTCTATATACTATACTAACTACATGTATATTCAATGGTTTAACTCCCGACGAGATGGTTCCGTAATAGGACCGTAACATTTCCCTATTAATTTAATCACCCATCACGTATTAGTTTAATTCATGGTTTTAAATAGCGCACTATAGCGGCGCTATAGCGGCTCAGATCAGCTAACGCCAAACTATTGTTGTTTTTGTCGCTATTCGCGCTATTTGGCGCTATAGCGGCGCTATTTGACGCTATATAGCGTCAAATAGCGCCAAATAGCGCAAATAGCACGAATAGCGCGAATAGCGGCAAAAACAGTCTGGCGCTACTATGCCATAGTGGCGCTATAGCGCGGCCATAGCGGCGCTATAGCTGCACTATAGCGTCGAATAGTGGCCAGAAATGCCCGACGCTATTTTCCATAGGCCGCGATCAAAAACCATGGTTTAATTCAATCTTATACAAATGTGGCCTTAGAAAATATTAATAAAGATTGTTCTGTATGTAACCGTTGTAATTTTCATTCCACAAAAGGACATCTACACATACAAGAAAGAAATAAAATTACAAATTAACATAGAGAACAAGGGACTATCTTGCAAAATATGATGAGGAACAAAACAAACAAAACAAAAAAAGTTAGGAGAAGCAGCTAATAAGAAGAGGGCTTTGTTATTTGTGGACCCATATACACAATGCCATCCATCTCTGATTCTTTCGGGATCTCGATTTCTTCGAGCCATCGATAGCAGCCTCCGACGTCCTCAACCTTCCTCGTACTTTCAACGTCTGTAAACAAAATCAATAAGATTGTTAGAAGTTAGAACAAAGGACCGTATGATATTAAGCGTTCATGATTGTCTGTTCGGAATGACGATTTATCATCCAAAAAAATGATCATGAAAAAAAAAAGTATCATACTCGATAAAGTATCATATGTAGCCTCTTTGTAAAATGAACCATCACGACCGTCTTCTTTGGAATAAGGAGGTCCGATCACATCCAACACTGCACAAGGTGTTAATGCTCTAATTTCGTGAATATTTCCTCCGGAAGTCGGATATAAAACCGAAGTGTCGCATGGGGCCGTGAACGTCTTGTTAGCCTTTAGCTTCGCCAATCTCACTAAAAATCCATCCGTGTTTTAAATAAATTAATCACCAAATCCATATTTATCTCGAATTTATATGATGATTAGTTAGGAAGAAGGCAGAAAGCATATATATGCTTACATTTGGACCGAGTGAGCGATCGATTGTCAAATTTACTTGGAGAATCGACCCAATCATATGCCTTTATGTGCATTGTCCCTAAGAGAAGCTTGCTAAATACGGTCATTTCCGGGTGGTTGTGAAGAGGTATGACGCCTTTTGCTGGAATAAAGAAAATGCACAACTGCAATAACAAAAAGGAAAGCGATCCAAACGATTAGTTAATGCCGCGTTTATATTCGAATGATGCGAAAAAAATAATATATCGGAATGAAAAAACTTATACCTCAAAGTTTTGACATTTGTGTATGGTGGCCGAGGTGACTCTTGGTGTAGTCCCTTCAACTTCAGTCTTAGGTTTGAAGAACTGAAGGTCCTTACTGAGCCCAACATCTTCTGGCTTCATACAGTCTACAAAACACATGATATGGAGATCACAACTAGCTTAGTTCTAAATACCGATTGATTGACACGAAATATATGAACGCAGAGTTCGATTTTCCTTCGGCGTATAATTGTTCGAAAATCGGCGATTAGACCCATTTCAAGATTCAGAAAGGACAGAAAAATACAATCTTTAGCTCCAAATTATGGCTCTGATCTGTCATTACGTTCGACGTATGCATCGTCTAAAGCAACGATTTTTATCCCTTCAAGTGCATCACTTAACCACGTCTTTGTTCAGAATGATCGAAAAAAATATGTATATAAACAAACTATGAACAAGTAACAAATCATTTCGATAGAACATACACGGGAAATAATTTGAATGGCCATGACATGAAACTCCAACTCAATTCAAGAAAAGACAGAAAAAGAAAATAAAATAAAAGAAAAACAGCTCAAAAATAAAAATGAGATAGCAAAAAACTCCAGATGAGTTTACCGATAATAAGTTGCAGCCTTTGCACGTCGGCCGGTGACGGAACAGTCCCGGGCCCTTTGAAAGCGTGTTTGCAGCAATCAAACAGCTCCTGTAAAGTCGTGGAAGCCATCCTCGCCGGCTCCCGCAGCTGAATCCTGACCTTTCTCCGACATCTTTTCTTCTTTACAACCTTATTATGAACAACACCCATAACCTTAACCTTATCCTGCCTCTCAAACCTCTCCACCAAATTCGCAGCTTCTACTGACATTATCAAACAAAGAAAAAAAAAAAAAAGCCTAAATTTGTTCGCCCCTGTTTTGTTTTCTCCAAAAATTATGAACAAGACTCGATCTTTTTCTCCGGCATGCAAATGGGTTTGTCGGTATGCGTCGTGACCCGGAAACAACGGATCTGGAGCAAGAAAAAAAGGAATTGGGAACGAAGACCCGATAGCTGTTCGATGAAATGCCAGACAGAGAAAATAATACTGTGTTTGTGGGGTTAAGGAAAAAGGTGCAGAACAGAGGACGCAGATTTATATAGGATGTGCAAAAAAAAAAACCAGGGGCTGTTGGGTGGTAAAGAGGCCCACAACAAGGAGAGATTGATGTGGGTTGAAACTTTTAAGGTAAGAAATAATATTATAGTCTTCTTCATGTGTCTGAAAAGAGGAAGATAAAACATGCAGCAGTTTATTTCCCGCCCCAAGATTGTGAGAAAAACTGCCAAGGGGTTTGGTTGGACTTTGTTCATGTATAGTACACTGTTTTTTATTAGTTCGGGCCGGGCTTTTTCGAACATGGAGAACAAACGATTTTGTCATAAAGTGGGTTTTCCTAGGTAGTCGGTGTTAGTATATTTACTTCATAATTACTACACTTTTTTTTTTTTTTTTTTTGGTACAGGGATCTTTCGGTTTCCGGATTCACATGGGAACCGACTAATTCGGAATCGAGCCGGGTAGGACCACAAGGGCGGTAAAGTTCTCCCTCAAGAGTTTTAACACTGTTGTATTCTCAGGGTTCGAACACGAGACCACTAGTTAAGCTGGAAGAGACCCAAACCATCTTATTCAAGCGTTCTTGGTTCATGATTACTACACTAATATATCCCCACTAGCATGACTCTTCTTTTTTTTTTTTTTAATATATATATATCCCCACTAGCATGACTTTGCTATAGTGTTTATTGACTTTTCATTTTTGTTCCTTTATTTTATTTTATTTTACTTTATTTTTTGAACTAAATGGGATTTTAATTAGATTGTGCTATTGTAATCTACTGGAAATCTTTATTATTTTTTTTTTCAAAATCGACAATGAACCATAAACTAAAGAAATATTTACATAGTTCGGATGGCCAACTAGCTCAGCATGCCAACAGAGCAAAGGGGAGAACCCTCACAAGAGGAACTAGCAGAAAAAAGAAACAATATACAAACTGATACTAAGAGACTAAATGGCAGTAATAGTTACTGAGGCCATTAGAAACTAGCAACAGCTAACAAAATGAAACAACTAACCAATGCTCAATGAGCCTAGCTAGGGAGAGCCAAACAAAACCAGGGAGGAATATACAAAGAAGAATACTCAGAGAGTCAAGCTGCATTCATTCCCTCTAGGAATCTTATGGATAATGTGATCATTGCTACTGAGGCCATTCATTATCTCAATAGGCATAGAAGTGAGAACAAATATTTCATGGCTCTCAAGCTGGATATGGCAAAGACTTTTGATAGGATAGAGTGGAATTGCATCAGGATGATCATGTCTAAAATGGGTTCCATCAGAATTTCATTAACTGGGTGCTTGCTTGTGTCACTTCCTCTGCTTTCTCTTTTAATATAAATGACACAGTCTGTGGTTTTGTGAATCCAACTAGGGGGATTAGGCAGGGAGATCCAATCTCCCCCTTATATCTTCATTATTGTGGCTAAGTTCTTTCCAGGTCTAATATCCAAAGCCATCTCTGAAGGCTCTCTTCAAGGCATAAGGATTTCAAAGAATGGACCTCATCTGTCCCATCTACTTTTTGCAGACGACACTCTCCTCCTGTGTCATGCCTCTCCCCAATGTGCAAATAAAATTATGAGCATCCTCCATACTTATCAGAAGTTCACTGGGCAGTAAGTAAATCTAGAGAAATCCTCTATTTTCTTTAGCAGGAACACCCCCCTCTCCTACCAGAGACAAATCTGTTCAATCCTTCATGGTGTGCAAGTCAAGCTCTCTACCAAATACCTCGGACTCCCACTTCACATTGGTAAGTACAAGAGGGACACTTTTGCTTTTGTGACCGACATGGCAAGAAACAAAATATCCAGCTGGAAAAACAAGTACTTCTCAATAGCAGGAAGGGAAATCTTAATCAAATCCACTTTGTGTGATCTACCTGTTTTTTGTAATGTCTTGCTACTCCCTTTCTACTGGCCTTTGTCATGATCTTTCTAAACCCATTGCTAGCTTCTTGTGGAATAAAGGTAACTGTGACAAGAAAGGTATCCATTAGAAAAATTGGGCTTCTGTCGCTTTGCCTTTGTCTGATGGAGGACTTGGGTTTGCTGATTTGAAGCTCTTTAATCAAGCCCTCATTATGAAGCAACTCTGGAGAATCATAACTAAGCCAAACCTTCATGTCAGCCGTGTTTTAAAGTCAAGGTATTTTCCTCACTGCTCTCTGTTTGACAGTAAGACTACTCAATCATGCTCTTGGCTATGGAGAAGTTGGATGCAGACAAAAAGCTCCTTCTCTGAGGGTTTTTTTGTGGAAATTGGACATGGCAAATCAACCAGAGTGTTGAAGCATCCCTGGATTCCATCTCTTCCCCTCTACAGGCCCAAACAGCACAGTCAAGTTGCCTCTCAATCAGACATCATTTGGGTGTCCAAGCTCATGGTGAATGATGGCAACCACTGGAATTAGGCCCTCATCAGAAATCTGTTCTCTTCTACTGAGAGTGAAGCCATATTAAAAATCACAACCATTGGTAGTCACAAGAAGGACAAATTCATATGGAGCTTTGACAATAAATGTCTCTTTTCTGTGGCTTCCTCTTATTCCAATCTGATCATTAAAAAGGTGAGAAGCCTGGACATTGCTGAAAGTAGCTCACACCAAAGCTGGGTAAAAAATGTCAGGGATTTTAGCTAGAAACTGAAAATCAAAAGAAAAATTAAATATTTTATCTAGCAATGTTTCAACAACATTCTTCATGTGAACTTGAAACTTATCATAAGAGGTCTACATCTTGACCCAATATACAAAGTTTGTGGACATGCTGAGGAGGATGAATCACATATGTTCTTTAACTGCCATAGAGCACAAATTGTCTGGAAAATAGCACCCATTAGCTGGAATATTAAGCACTCAGATTTTGTTGGCTTCACTCACTGGTGGAAAAATATTTGTCTTAATCCAAAAGAACTTGAGGCTGTGGATAGAATCGAGCTAACTACCTATCTCTTATGGTGGCTTTGGAAAGCCCGAAATCTTTGGGTCTTCCAAAACAAATGGATTTCTGAAAAGGAGTTAGTGGATTCTGTTGTTTCTGAATGACAGGAATTCTCTGCTCTTTAGCATTCTTATTGTATTCTTCTTTGTATATTATGCATAAGTTTTGGTAATCTCTTTTATTACATTAAATATTATTATTTAGTACATTTGGATTTAAGTTAGGGATTTTACATGTATTTAGGTATAGTGCAAAAAGTTTTCCTTTGTTTTCTATTTTGAGTTTTTACAAATAGTCGTGTTAGGTTTGAGGTTTGTGATTACGCTAAAGTATTAATAAGGAAAGTTTACAAAATTATCGGTTGTGGTGATCAAAAAACGAGGGTCTGGTCGCTCTGAACTGAGAGTCGAGTACTAAATCGAATTTCAAAACATTAAACTCAATGTTTATTCAACTTGTAAAATTTTTAAAATTAATTATTCGGTTCAAAAATTGACCGACGAATAATCTTCTTGTATTGAATCAATCCATATCCATTTAAGGCTTCAAAACACTGCACCCAATGTTTTTCAACCCACAAATAAAGGTAACAAGGAAAAGGGTTAATTTTCATATCTATCATTTTAAAAATATTTCCATATTCATTCTCGGTTTAAAACATTGCACCAAATGTTTATTCAACCCACAAATAAGGGTGCATAAGAAAAAGGTTAATTTTCATATCTATTTTTATTTTTAAAATATTTTTACAAAATACGAGCATTTAAAAAAATATTTTACATAAATAATACTAATGCAAGTGGGAATGCCCTGGTCCGATTTGGGGTAGATCGATTACTTCCCTCGCCGGTAGAACGTAGGAAACCTGTAAATAACTCTCACACCGGGGGTTGTGTCCGGTGAAGAGCCTCTGATGCTTAAGTCAGTATGTGTATGAGTATACTGAAGTGAATAATGGAAAAATCGTGTTAAGGGAAAAAGACTCACCCCCTTTATATAGGGGTGAGATACCTGCCCTAATAGCTGCCCGGATAGGGTGAGCTGGCTGCCCAAGCTGCCCGTCCGTACTTTGACACGCCGCGCACATGTCAGAGGTGGCGCGGGGCGTTGGGAGCTGTCAGAGGTGGTTATCGCTATCAACCACTACATTTTCGACGCGTGTCCTCCTGCACATGGGGTAAATATTCTCTTGAAATTCGGTTAGAGGCTCTTACACGCGCCTGTGACTAGGCCGATCTTGCGAAGTGCTCGGTCCACGAAGTGGCCGACCGATCGAGGTCGATTGAATTGCTCGACTGAACTGCTCGACCGTTCATCTGGTCGAGTTATAGATTGGTCGACTGTTTAGCTGGTCGACTGATTAATTGCTCGATTTCCTCGACTTCCCCATGGTATGACCTCCTCGACCCGTCAACAGATCGGTTTAGCCTTGTGGGTATAATATCCTATGTCATCTAGTCCCTCCCCACTCTGGTCGAGTCTGGATGACTCGATCTAAGAGTGAACTCATGCTCCTCGCCTTCTTTTGTAGCAAGCCGGCAAATATCGACCACCTAATGGGTTTCCCGCTCATTATTTCAAATAATTCCTCATTAATTGCCAGAAACAAAGTCGCCTACCAAGTGTCCTTTCTGTCGCACCCGCTTTTTTGCCACGCGTCCCATCTGTCAGGCACTTTAATTATTGCGCCTCCTCGTCTAACGCGCCCATTTTTAACTTCGTGTGAATTAATACTTCCCACCGTAGGATTTAGCTTTAATCCGACGGCTCTTATCTTTCAACCTTTAATCTTCCAGAGTATAAATTTAACACTTAGT